GAAGATTTTTAATCTTTTATTGTATCTAAAATAAGCATTTAGACCATAGATGTCCCTGTTAATACTGTACTTAGTTGCATCTCTCTTTTTTTCTTTTCAGAGCTGAGGATTGTACTTAGGACCTTCCAGATGTTAAGCAAGTGCTCAGCCACTGAGCTAAATCCTCAACCCCAACATCTCACAAGCTTTGATAATGTACTGTTTTAATTTCCTTTCAGTTATAAATATTTTCTAATAATAGTAGTTTCTTTTTAAACCCATGAACTCTTTTCAAAGTTGTTTTTCTTTGCTTCATTTCTAAGTATGTTTAGATTTGTGATTAATCTTTTGTTATTGACTTTTAACATTGTGCTGTCATGCATATGATTTGTATGAATTTTTGGTTCTCATTTATATTTGTGTTGTAGTCAATTTTTATATATTCCACATAAGTTTGAAAATATATATCCCCCAGTTGTTGGATGCAGGACTCATTAGATCAAGCTTATTAACAGTTTAGACTTTCTGCATCTCTAAAATTTTATGTGTTTCATTTGTCAGTTACCAGGAGGTGCTTTTTAAAAAATATCCCTCGGGGATGAAGTTGATGATGACGATAAATGGTTTGTGTATTTTTTTTCTTAAAATTCTACCAAGTTTTGCTTTATGTATTTTGGAGCTCTATTGTTAAATGAAAGCCACAATACATATTTCTGGCAAACTGTTTCTTCCATTTTAATATGGACCTTCAGTATCCCTAAAATGCTTTTTATTTTAAGACCAATTTTGTCTGATATAGACCGTGGTGCCATCTTTCTTATTTACCTAATACATCTTTTCAAACCACCGTTTTTTTCAATATGTATGTGTCACCGGGTTTTAAATACTGTATGTTTCTTGCAAATAATGTTTAGTTGTGCTATGCTTTGTTTTGTGTTTTACTCCAATCTGAGATTCTCTTTTAGTGGGAAAGTTTTGATCATTGATATTTACCCCAATCACTCATATGTTTGGAAATATCTCTACTCCCTTATTTTGTATTTAATGTTTGCCATGGTTTTTTTTTTTCCTTTTCCTTTCTTAGTCTTTTAGTCAGCTTTTTCACTGCTGCCACTAAAAGATCTGACTACAGCAATTTTAGAGGAAGACAAGTTTGAGGGCTCACATTTTCAAAAGTCTCAATCCATAGACAGCAGGCTCCATTCCTGGGGGCTGGAGGTGAGGCTGAACATCATGGCAGAAGAGGATGGCAGAGGGAAGCAGCTCATATGGTGATCAGAAAGCAGAGAGACAAATACAAACATGGGCTGGGATTGTGGCTCAGAGGTAGAGCCCTCACCTAGCGCGGGAGGGACCAGGGTTCCGTCCTCCGCATCACATAAAAATAAAGGCATTGCGTTGTGTCCATCTACACCTAAAAAATAAATATTTTTGAAAAATCAAACATGTACCCCCAAACCATGCCCCCAATGCACCACTTCCTCCTACCTGCCCTAATTACCTCTGAATTAATTCACTGATTGGGTTAAGGCTCTCATAACCCAATCATTTCTCTTTGAAACCTTCTTGCATTGTCTCACACACATGAACTTTTGGGAGCTACCTCACATCCAAACCATAATATGTAGTTTTGGACTTATGTTTTCTATGAGCTTTATTTATGAATGTGTTATATTTATATAAAATGTACCACATATAACATATCACATGTATATAAAATATTTACACTTAGACATATTTTCCTTTTTCTTTTTAGTGTTAATTTTTATATTAATAAACATTATAAGTTAGTAAGTTTATACTTTACTACCCTCACAAACAATAAGAACTTTAGAATACCTTGATTCTGATCCCTCATTCCCATCTTAACTTGGTATTATCTGCCAGAGTTTTTGTTCCATGTCATTTTCATACACCTGAAAGTTGTTCAGGCATGATTAGATCCACATGCTTAAATTATTAAAATACTAAAACAGATCCTTAAAACAATGGCTCAAATGAGAGATGTATGTTTCTTTCTCACATCACAGTCCAGTAGTGAATGGGTGGGCCAAGTGCTAGACCCCATGAGGTCATCACCTAAACAGCTTTCTTCTATTTTGTTTTTATGCCCTTCCCTCCCCAGGATTAAATTCTGACCACAACATTCTTAACCATCATATTGTACTCTTAAAAACTTGTTTTAACTACCCAAATGATAATTGCCTCTACCATGTCCACATTCTACCCTCTAAGGAGGAAGACAAAGTTGAACACAAGTAATTATTATAAGGAAGTGACCTGGAAGTATATGTGGTTGTTTTATGCTGCAAGGAAGGTTGGGAAATGTAATTTCTGGCTGGATGACCAAGTTTCCATCTAAAAGTTGTGGGCTTTGTTACAGCAAAAGAAGGAGGGAATGGGCTTTGGTGTACAAACATCAGAATCCTGTGTTCTCTTCTGATGTTTTCTGTGTTTATTTTAACTGTAGGCAGCTACCCCCCAGTGACTGGAAAAAAAAATTACTAACAATAATAACCTCATGGTCATTAACAACAATAATCTCATGATCTCTCATTTTAGCAATTCCAATAAAAAAGAGAAAGTATCTATTTAGGATGATTTCTCCTGACTGGTTCAATGTGGATCATATCACTAAACAAGTTGCTTTGATCAGACAGATGCAGTCCCCTGGTAAACAGGTGTGTCATTCATCTGCTCACAGAGGTTGGTGGGATAGGCCTACCCCAAACCACATAGCCTGAAAGTAGAAAAAAAAGTTGTCTTCAAAAATCAAATATTAAGGTGCTGTTAACACCAGAATGAATGCTGAACAGGCCACATAATAGATAATCGTTAAAATTGTTCCATAGAGCTATTGGATGGTCTAAGGATGTTGTAGAACTGAATGTATTTTAAAAACTCAAGTAAATAAATATGGAAAGTGACTTGATGACAAGAGTTGTTTGAAATGCTTTTGCTTTCTGCTGTCCAGTTTAGGTGCCATTCACTCAGCACCTATGTTCGCCTGTTATACTGACCATATTGTGTGCCAATTATTTACTTATGTCTGTCTCCCAGGCCTCCCATAACACACACTTCCAATTGACGGCTTCTCTAGACCGAGATTCCATTTCTGTCTGATAATGCCCAAGGCACAGAGTAGGCATCAGGGGACCAGACTTATTTAAAATGAAAGAAGGATAAATTCTCAATGACCCCCAGAAAGTACATCCCCCTTCAATTCTTGGCTCTCCTTATTGCCTTTGTAGATCATTATTTCAAAGATATTAGTCAAATCCAGGGATCTGCAGGATTGGGGTAGGAAGCATCAGAACAAATTATGTTGCTTATAGAAATTTATCTCCTAATGACTGGAAAATTGTAGCAGCCATCCTTTTATTTATGGAATTCAAATCAAATCACCAAGAGGAAAGACCCAAGTGGGAGGAAGTTCAGGAGATAATTGACTAATCCAGCTGTCTTATCATCCTGTTTGATTCCAAGGTTAAAAAATCGGGGCTGTGTTTTGCAATCAATTCCTAATCTAAACATATAATGATTTTCTCTCCCAGAAACACCAATGCCAGCTTAAATGATGCTGAAAAATATGCCTTTATTTGAGGGGAAAGAAGCTGAACATCAGGCAATGTAACTAGGGGTAGGAAGTGGAGAACAGTGTGGGAGACGCATGTGGAGAGACATCAAGGACAGACCAAAAGGTAACCAGAGAAACAAGAACCTTGCCGGAGAAGTATCTAAGTGGCTTGCTTAGGAAGTGCCAACTATGTGTCTTCTGGGTGTGTATTTTGAATATAATAGCCACCATTTATATGCCACTGTTATATGCTAGATGTGGTAGCAAGCATTGTAAGTGCATGTTCTCATTTTACTTTTCAGAACAACATTGCAAGTTCAGAGTTGGCACCCTGGTTCATAGATGAAATTTAAGACCAGAAAGTTGCAATGATTTGCCCATGGCCATACAACAAGGACTACAAATGCTGGGATTTGAATCCCTGCAGATTGGATTTGACTCAAAGCTTTTGCTCTGAGTCCTTAACTATCACAAGAATATCACTTTATGGCAAGTATTATTTCCTCCATTTTCCAGAAAAGACTGAGGCCCAGGGATGACCCAAGACATTGACAAGACCCAGGGATGACAAAGACACTGTCTGATTCCAAAAATCTATTTTTCCTCCAAGGTAGAAGACCAAGGGGAACAGGGATGCCCCCTGCCAGAAAGTCCCTGCAGGTCAGACCCTACACTTTCCTGGGGAATAGTCCCCCTCCAGTTTACCCCTCAATTTCCCCACCTATACCCCTATCCCAGAATCCTATTATCATCGACTTTCTCCCGCTATGGCCTCTGGGCTGAAGAGGAACCCTGTGGTTCTTGGTAAGGTCTAATACACTGCTTCCCAAGGATCCTCTAGGGAACAAATAATCAGGACACCCCAGCCTGAGGCCCCCATTTCCACACATCTGAACAAGGCCTGACACCCATTAAGTGCTTGGATCAGGAGCCAGTCACACTGGGTTCAAATACAGTCCCATGACGGACTAAGCAGCACCTCTCTTTTTAAAAACATCTATTAAGGGACAGACATTTCACAAGGGATTTCCTTCCATATTTCATCTAATATTTCTTCTCCTTCAATGATTGGCTCTATTTTACAAAAGAAGAGCCTCAGGTTCCTGGAGGTGAGGTGACCAGCACAAGGGCAGCAAGTGCTTGAGACTTGAATCTACCAAGGCCACAGATCCGCTGTTGCCTGGGAGCAGAGGAGGGGAGGAGCTGCCAGAGCTGAGGGAGGAGGGGAAAGAGAGGGCAAGCTCCCAGCAGCGTGCGCTGACGACAGCAGGTGATTTTTTTTTCTGCAGCGCTCTCCCTCTCAGCATCTTTCCTGGGTCCCCCCCAACCCCCCTTGCTGAGCGGCAGAAAAGGGTGGGGCCGCCTCTCTGCAGCAGAGGCGGCGGCGGCAGAGGCTGCAGCATCATCCAAGGCAGCAGCGGAGACGGCGGTGCTCGGTCTGCGCTGGAGGTGATCGCCTCCATGCCCTACTAGGTGGCCGGCTGCTACTGGACCGGCGGAAAGGAGAATCAAGCCCGGTCCGTGGAGCCTGCAGCCACACCGCCCAGCACTTCCTCTGCGCCATGGCTTAAGCCCGCAGTCACCTCGCTTCGCGTCGCCTCGCTCCACCAGGGTCTGTGCGCCGCCGCAGCAGCAGGGAGGGGCGCGTCCCAGACGCCCTAGCCGGGGACTCCTGGACGCCGTGCAGCTGGCCCTTCGGCGCTCGCAGCAGCTGCGTTCCCGAAGGCGTTTGCAGCCGGTAATCGAGGCACTTTACAGACTTTATCTTAGCGATAGCTCTCCCCGGGTGCTCTCTGGGGGAGGAGGGCGAGGTAGTAGGCTGATTTGGGGAGAAAACGGTGGGAATCACGTTGGTGGGTAGGGGCCAGGGGCTGAAGGAAGATTCTAGAGACTTGCTTTAAAGATACAAAAAGAAAGAGGGCCAGTTTTGCATCTAGCATCATGGCGTGGCCGTGCATCACACGGGCCTGCTGCATCGCCCGTTTCTGGAACCAGTTGGACAAGGCGGACATAGCGGTGCCGCTGGTTTTCACCAAGTACTCGGAGGCCACGGAGCACCCGGGCGCCCCACCGCAGCCGCCACCGCCACAACAGCAGCAGTCTCAGCCCCCCTCGGCGCGCGCGGTCGCCATAGAGACGCAGCCGGCCCTGGGCGAGTTGGATGCAGTTGCCCGGGCAACAGGGCCAGCGCCCGGGCCTAGCGGCGAACGTGGGGCGGCGGCGGCGGCCTCCGCCCGGAGTGGGCCGGGCCCCGGCGCGGGTTCCGGCTCCACCTCCGGGGCAGGCCCCGCGGACTCGGTGATGCGGCAGGACTACCGCGCCTGGAAAGTGCAGCGGCCTGAGCCTAGCTGCCGGCCGCGCAGCGAGTACCAGCCTTCGGACGCGCCCTTTGAGCGGGAGACCCAATATCAGAAGGACTTCCGCGCCTGGCCGCTGCCGCGCCGCGGGGACCACCCGTGGATCCCCAAGCCGGTGCAGATCACCACGTCCTCTCAGGCTACCGCGCCTATTCTAGGGGCGCCCAAACGCCGGCCGCAGAGCCAGGAGCGTTGGCCGGTGACCACCGCCGCTGAAGCCATGGAGCAGGACGCCCCAGGAGGAGCCGGTGTCCTGGCGGCCGGAAAGGCTTCCGGTGCGGACGAGAGAGACACCCGCAGGAAGGCCGGGCCCGCCTGGATGGTGCRTCGCTCCGAGGGGCACGAGCAGACGCCCCCGTCCGAGGCTCTAGCGCAGGCACAGGCCCAGGCCCAGGCCGGAGCGGCTGGAAAGGCGTCTGGTGCAGATGAGCGCGACACTCGCAGGAAGGCGGGGCCCGCCTGGATGGTGCGTCGCACCGAAGGGCAAGATCAGATGTCTGTGCCGGCTGCTCAGGTCCAGGCCGAAGAAGGTGGCCCGGCGGCTGGAAAAGCGTCTGGTGGAGATGAGCGTGACACACGCAGGAGGGCCGGGCCCGCCTGGATGGTGCGTCGCTCCGAGGGATACGAGCAGACGCCGCTGCCAGCTGCCCAGGCCACTGGCCCAGAGGGTGGCAAGGGGCGCGCAGCTGCAGATGCCCTCAACCGGCAAATCCGCGAGGAGGTGACCAGTACAGTGAGCAGCTCCTACAGGTGAGACACCGGCAGCAGCTCTCGCAGTGGGGCTGGTCACCCTTATCCTCTCCTGAAACTGCCTTTCACAGACCACACATTCCGATTCCTCTCTCTTGCCAGACCACGCCCGTCCTCCAGTCTCATGCCAGGCACTCTTCCACTGCATACTCCTTTCCCTTGTCCTGTGTTAAAGCTGTTAGTTACCACTCCAGCCTTCCCAGATCTTTCTCTTTACTACTTTAGTCACCTTTCCCCCATCCTTGCTCACCTCAGATCCCCACTTACCCAACAGAGACCCTGCGGGTTTCTTCACAGCTGGGTTGCACTTCCTTTCTGTTCCCTGCAACTCACCTGCTGCGTTAACTTGGCCGCTGCCCCTTGCTGGCTTCACTGTTGCCCACCTACCTTGTCTTCCTGCAGGGTTCTCATCCTTCTAGAAGAATACTTTCCAAGTGACCTCTCACCCTCCTCCCCAGAACACTTCTTTTGGCTCTTCATTCTTCTTTCTCTCTCAGTCTCTGGGCTACACTCAACCACCACACCCTTTTCTAGATTTCCCCTCAGGTCCTTACAAATCACCCTCCTCCTCTATCACTCAGACTTTGAAGTCATTTTCCTCCTGCTTCTTACTTGCTGTCACACATTGGTCAAATTTCTCAATCTTTTTCAGGGCTAGGTTCTTAGCTGTAAGTTGTTATTAATAATAGATATCTCTTAGTGTTTTCGCTGATTTATTGATTTTAAGTTAAACATCCAGGGTATTTTTTCAATACCTACTATAAGCCCAAGCACTGTGCTGACATTGTGAGGATTCAGGAGGACTGCTCATGCCAGGGACATAGTGGTCATTAGTTCATTTCCATTCTGACCTTCTACAGGATGCTTCATTGCTCTGATTTCTACTTCCTAGATGCCTGGGCCCATTTCTCCTAATGAGGCATCTCCTTTCTCTCTCTCTGCCGTTCATGGTCTCCAGATGTGTTTCTTACTGTCTCACCACCAAGAACTGCGTCTTTAGCAAGGTTCAAATTCCTTGTAAATGAATGTCTTCAAGCATCTCCCTGCTCCCAAATTCTCCCTCTGCTGCAGTCTCAATCCTTTCAGTCTGTTTTCTCACCTGCCCTTATGTTTCAACCAACATCAGTTAGCTAACCAATCACAGTTGGCTGAAAATGTAACACTAGGTTGGGGTCTCTAAAGAAGCAGATGTGCATGATGAATAACTGAGCTAGAGGTATTCAAAATGTGGCTTATGGGGTCCTTCATCAGTACCACAGCAATTAGTTGCCTTCTTCCTGGTGACTGAGGGTGGGGGGCAGGTTGCAGAATTAGTGTCCTCTGCCAGTACCCTATAAGGTACCCATACATACTTTCAATCAGACTGATGTCCTCCAATGAACATGACAAACACTTTCTCCCATGCTGAGGACAAACTAGCATATGGAGACATCTTCCCTTGTCTTCCTAAATTTCACCTCCTACTTACCATCTCTCTCTTGATTAACTGCTATCACAACCTCACTGTTCTCCTAGAAATACATTGCTTCCTTTTAAAGTTCTGGATCAAACAAGGACACATATCCTTTTCTTTGGATAGCCACAATGAGGTGGAATTTTCATAATATTTTTATGCTGTTACCAAGAAAGGAAACAAATAAGCAAGGAGCATAAATGAAACCAAGAGGTAGTTTTCTGGTTCTGCAATGAATTTCTTGTTTATAAGGTCCTACTGCATTCCCTGAGAACCCTATGGCTGGCCCAACATTACAGATCGCTGGTCTGTGGCTTCATCTTCCTCTTCCCATTCTACCATCCTATGGCAGGTGGAACCTCACCACCCACTAGGCAGAAGCTACCTCTTCTCACCTCCATGTAGTTAATGACAGTCACAGGAGAGGGCCCAGGTTCTCAAACCTCCTATTCAGTTTATGTTCCCTAATTTGTAGGGCTTGTTTTGTCAGTCAAGGAATGACTGCAACCTGTCGGATCAAAATTTTGGTTTGTACCAAATTTGGGTTTGTACCTTTGCTCTGTGCCTTTTCCCTTAAAACAAAACCTTAGCTGTGTAATAAGCATGTTATGTTTCAGTTTGAATTATACACATATGGAAATGATTAGATTGGGTAGGGGAAGGCTGTGCTCGTGCAGCTGGTGAGAATGACTATTTTTTAGGAGCTATTAGAACTCTATCAACCTGTTAAGAAAAATCTTTGAACACCTCACAATTTTTTTTTTTAAAAAACAATTCAGGTCTTCTCTAAAATTTAATGATAATATGACTTTGGGCCACGAGTGCCTTTTTGCTTGATAGTCAAAGCATTTTGAAACATTAAGAGAACGAGTGTTGCTAAGAAACATTAATTTCTTTAATTAACAGTTTGTGTGTAAGACAAATTTGATGTGAAATTTAACATTATTTTTTGTTCCAGAATAAAAATTAACCAATGACAGAAAAATGCACTTTGGGTGAAATAAAATTTGAAAGAAATAAGATATTTAATAAATTAAATACACTATTAGAGAAATACAGTATTAGAGAAATGCTAAGGAATTATAGGCTTACCTGGAACTTTGATTTTCCCTCCCTATTATCTCAAATTATTTTCCTTGCTATAATTCTGGATATTTACTGAATTTAAGTATGTCCCATGTCCACTGTAGGTGGGCCTTACATCATCACAGAAACCAAGTAAGATTCCATTTCAATGATAAATTTGATTTATAAAATCTTTTCTTCTGCCACTTTACATAAATCATGGTATATTTATACCATGGTGACTGGTTCCTCTCATGGGCTTTACAAGTGACATCTGTCACATGACATCAATGTGAGCAGTTTGCTTGAGAAAGGACACATAATCTATCAACATAATATATCGGTATATAACATAAAATACAATTCAGCTTTCAGAATCATATATATGCTAATAGACAGCCAGTTAATAGTATTAGATATCCTTTGAATACGGTTTTGAGAAACCTTCCTTATTCAATAGTTCGTCTGATTCATAATGCATTCATACTAGCTGGGAGTTTCACATTCAAGTGGCTATCTGAGGCTTTGAGAATATTTCACAATCATAAGGTGTATTTATTTTACACAGATGATATTATAAAATTGAGGAGCATGTCTTTTTTTTTTTTTGAGAAGCATGTCTTCGTTACAGTTTTTCATGTTGAGGATGGATTTCACTGGGAAGCCATTTGTGACTTTAGCTCTGGCATTCTCAATTAGAAAATAGATGAGTCATAGGAGGGGATTAAAATTTCTCTCCCCGTCAACCCCATTGCCCTGGCCATTGGTTAATAGGGATAGATGGGGTAGCAGGTGTCCCTATAGAAATGCTAATGAGAAACTGTTCCTAGAAGAAATCAGCTGGGGCACCAGGAGGCAGAATTAATAAACCAGAGGCAAAATACTTGAAAAATGAGCGTAATAACAAGGAAGTCAGGAAGAAAAAGAGCCTTTAATGTCTGCCCTACGGCCTTGTGTGAATGTGAGAGAAAGGCCCATCTGACTTAGCTTGTGCTATGTGCAGAACTGCCCTGTACCACAACTGCCCATTTTCCTAATTGCCTCCTGCTTAAGTCCCACCAATACCTCAAGGTCAGTCTTGGATACTGAGTCTTCAGCAATGCCTTTCTAGATCCTGCCATTCAGAATTACCATTTTTACTATCTAAACTGTTATCACTGTCTGCTTATTTGTCAAATACTTTTTATTTTTTAACTTTTTATTTTATTTTACTTTATTTATTTATTTATTTATTTTTTTTTTTGTGTGTGTGTGTGTGTGTGTGGTTTATCCATATGTATTCCACCTCCCAGATCATGGACACTTAAAGAGAAGGGCTGCATTTGGCCATTTCTATACCTCTCACAGCCTAATGTTCCTCTGCATTGTTTAGATTTGTTGATCCAGTGGGATATATAGGGGTTAGTGAACATTTTATTAATCTACATGTTGACTAATTTCCTTTTGTCTCGTTTAGTTGAATTTATTTCAGAAAATGACCAACAAGCCCTTGCTATGTATTCAAGCTAGGGATACTGAAAAATAAGTTATAATTTTACCGAGGGAAGTCATGTCCTCTTTAATTGGGATACAGTCTGAATTCCTCTAGCTTACACCAGAAGGCAATGTTCAGATGGGGAAGGGTAGTGAGCATTCCAGGCCTGACTCTTGATGTACCTTTGCTTAAAGCCAGGGGCCTCAACCCTGGCTGCACGTTGGATGATCTGGAGGCCTTTAAAAATGCTGTTGCATGGAGAGACGCTGATACAGTTGGTCTGGGGTGGGGCCTGGGCATCTATATGTTTTAAAGCTCTCTTGGGTTATTCTAATGGGCAATCAGGTTATGACATTTGTCCACAAGGCAAGCTTCTCAAAATTCAGTATGCAGAAGAATCACCTGAAGAGCTTACCAAGATTCAGATTCCTGGGCCACATTCTCAGGCATGCTGCTTCAATAGGTTTAATGTGGAGTCTAAGAATCTATTTTTAATAAACACTATAGATAATTTTGTTGCAATTAGACTTCTGGCTTTACTCAAGGAGACACTGCTCAGAGAGATTTGCTGTCTTTAAGGGATGATTTGCCCATATACATTTATATATGGGTCAACTTACATTTTCTTTCATGTTCTTTGCTTATGTTTTATAATTTTCTCCATAAAGATCATTTCTATAATTATAGGGTTGTTGGGTTTTTTTTTGTTGTTGTTTCTTTCTTTTTTTTTGGTACCAAGAATTGAACCACAGAGCCATATACCCAGCCCTTTAAAAAATATTTTATTTAGTGACAGGCTCTCTCTAAATTGCTTAGGGCCTAGTTAAGTTGCTAAGGCTGTCTTTGAACTCGTGATCCTCCTGCCTCAGGCTTCTGAGCTGCTGGGCCTTCAACACTGTGCCCAGATATAATTATAGTTTTTAAGTTTTATTTTTTTTATAGATAAATCTTTAACTGGATTCTATCTTTATGTATAGAATGAAATCAGAACCAAATTTTTCCCCCATA